TTGTGAAAGGCTTAAAATGGCAAAGTGTGTTCTTCAAACAGCCCGTCCAGAAAGTTTGTGAGGCAGATGGGGGGGGGGGCTGCAATTGCCTCCTGTATTAACAGTTCCCAAAGTGGTAACCAGACTACAGTTACAGGAAACTCTGACCATAGGGCTTCTGGGAGATGTAGTCCAGAAACAGCTGAAGCCCTGAAGACTATGGACCATTCCTCTATGTGGACCTTTTCCATTTATCCGGCTCTGGTGAGAAAAGTGGAAGATTGGGAGAGGTAAGAGATTGGCCAGCAGCTGTCCCCACTTGGGCAGCCCTGTCTTCAAAATAAGATGCATACAAAGATTGTGGAAGTAGAAACTGAGGCAGCCTTTTCTTTTCCACCCTACTGACTGCTAGTTTTCTGTCCACTTAGAAATGACGTTTTTCGAAATTAAGGTAGATGATGAAAAACACGCAATACCAGCAATTGAGGCGCAGGTTTCTTTAAAAATAAATGCCCAGCACCAAGATGGCAGCTTCCTTTCACTTCTCTTCTGCCTTTGCCCTTCTCTAAGATGGGGAGGGAGGGGAAAGAATGATGTCATCGCATGACTGTGTTTTTATGAATGAAAAGAATCCTGTGAGTGAGTAATTCCAGGAAACTCATATTACAACTCAGCAGATCGCGGCGCAGCAGCCAGCTCAGCCCTTCTCCTCGGAAGACAACAACTTCATTTTTACAGACAACAAACAAGGTGATTTGCAGCCGCGTAATCGTCGAGACAGAAAAGAGGGGGGTTTCCTTCCGAGAACGTAAAGAGAAGCGGGGAGCAAGGCAGCCAACAAAAGACTTGCTTCGGAGGGTTTGCTTCAAGTAAGTGGAGGGTCGGTGTGTAACTCTGTGGTATGGGAACTTTCACACGTCAGAGAACGAAGGACGGGGCCGCCTCCGTTTCTTGGTGCTCGAGAGGCGCCCTTTCCAATGTGGATTTAAAAAGAGAAAAAGGAAAACACCCGTGTACGGGATGATGGGGGCAGAGAGGCCCTGAAAAAGATATAGAAGGCAAACATGTCTGTAGCTTTTTCATGACGCGGTGCTGAGGGTTGCCAAGGTGTGCGTATGTTACGAGGAGTGGCTGCTGTTGGTTTCCTTCAGGATACAGGAATGGCATCCAGGGTGTTTCTCGATTAAGTGATCCCTTTTGGAGAGGGGCGGCTGTGTTGTGGGGCAGCCTCGGTGAGCAAAAAAAAAGGGTACAGATCCAAGAGGTGTTTGATAATTATTATTGTTATTATTTGCTTTCGTTCTTTAAATACCCAATAGTGAGGCGTTGCTTTGCTTTCGGGGACACACCGAGCCACAGTGCGGTGTGCGAGCACCCCGACAGCTGCAAAAAGCAGGAAATCGCTTAATAACACAGGAGTTACTCATGGCTCGTATTAACCATGTGTGTACACGTGCTGGGGCCTCAGTCACATGTTATAATCCGGCTGGGTGGCTACAGACGCGAGTTGTGATTTTGGGGGGGGGGAAGGAAGAGGTGTACGCCATTAGGAAACCTTGGAACTCCGACGTTTCCCATTTCAAGCGCCCCCCCCACCGCCCCAAATCGGTCATAAATGAGCTCCTTCTCTCTCATTAACAACGGCTTACCGGCTCGCGAGGTACACCCTCGTGAGGATGGAGTCTGCAACGCTGAAATCCTTGCCCCTTCAGACTGGGGCAGGAGGAAGTCGAAAGGCAAGCAAAACGATGAGGATCCCCTTAGGTGGGCCTAGAAAGGGAAAGGGAGGGATCGAGGTTTAGGAAGCTGCCATGGAGAGAATTTCCCGGATCAATCTTGGGAAAACAACATTAGGGCATAGTCGAATCTAAAGGTGTGGTGTGTGGAATTTTTTTCCTCTAGAAGCATTCTGGATGGGTGAATGGCTCTCTTGTTTGGGAGTTGTGAGTAATTGTCATATTTAAGATTTGGAAGGAATCCACCCCGCTGGCGGCAAAACAGGCTAGAGATCCTGTGGCACTTGCTGATTTTTCTGCATACAGATGTGGTATGGTTCACCTGTTTTAAGTGATCTGAAGGTGTTTCCTCTGCAGTGTGCCTGCCACTTAGTAGTTTGTTCGTTTACTTATTTAAGGAAGTCTTTTGTGACCCGCTGCTTTCCCCATGTTTTTCCCCCGTGCTGTCTATAGCTATGATCCTTTTCCTCATCGGTTACTCTAACCGAGACTCATGGAAGATATAGTTAGAAACGTCTGGCAGGCATAAGATTGCAAAAAGTTACGGTAATCTAAGATATTTGTGGATGGCCTCTTATTTTAAAATATGTTTAAAGGGGCTTATGATTTTTTAAAAAAAATAAACAGTTACACGAATAACAATATAAATATCTCTTATAAAGCTAAAGTAAAGGTCAAATTGAAAATAAAACTAACACAAGGATCTTTTGAAAATAAAACTAACACAAGGATCTTTTGAAGGAGCAAAAACACAAGAATGGAAGTATTGGTACATGGGCATTTCTGGGGAGAGTAAGGTGCATGTAGAATGGTGCCACAGAAAAGGTCTTGGTTCTGATTTAGAGAAGGTCTGTAATACAAATGTAAATGCACCTGTTCAAACTATGCTACCAGCATTCTCTCCACTCCACCAGAGTTTTAATTATCTTTTTTTTAAAGTTTTCTCTTAAAAGATAAGCTATCTGTCCTACTTGTTGTATTTTGGAGCCCCACTTTTTACAACCTAATGGAATCAATATTGTGCATTCAGTACTACCAGTATTGCTAACTGCTGTGTCACTGATAATATATTATTCTGTTCAGGCATTCTGTTCAGCTGTTTTTTTTTTCTTTATCCTGTTTTATTCAGTGGTTGTGTGTACTGTAAATGGCCTGCAATGCCAGTCCACCTAGATGGTTGTTTCTTTTTTTTTACTCATCAGCCAGGTGGTTTCTGTATAAATAACCTGACTGATGATTCATGAGGCAGCGAGGGAGAAAATGTATTACAGATAACACTAGTCAAATATTACCCAACAGACAACATAATTAGGAAAATTATTTAATCAAAAGAATGGAAAATAACCAAGTTGTCTAAGAGAAGGTGCCATTTGTATGCAAAACATGATGACATGATTTCTGTAAATTTTGCTGAGTTTTCATAGTAGGTAATGTAACAAATACGAAAAAGAACCCCCCTCCACAGAAACTCCCCAATTGTAATTAGAGTTAGTTACCCTCAACAGTTGCTTACTTTTATTCTGATTCATTAGAATAAAAAAAGAGAAAACGGAGCCTTTCAAGAGAATTGATACATAACATGTCCTTTTGTATTCTATTGACATGTTTTAGCCCAAAAGTTGCCAGTTCAAAGAGCTTCAAAGGCTTTAAGACTTTTGTAAAAATTTACAAAGAGTCTTGCAATGAGTTTAAAAACTAATAAATGTTATTAATGACATAAGGTTTTGCAGATTATCATGGGAATTCACAAACATGCCTACTATGAAAATATATATATAATACTGAGTGAGGAGTTATATTTTTATCTTATTATAAGGACTGCTGGTCTTAGTAGCATCAGCTTTTTAAAAATGACCATCTAGCAAGTTATATTTTTGAAGTTACAGTTTAGTTTTGGAGTTCTAATAGAAATCACATAGGTATCACATTTCCACAGTTCTGTGGTTTAATCTCTGGGCAGTTTTAAATTATCTGGTGGATTTCAAGGAATGTAATCCTCTGATTTGTTTCACCACCTAGTTGTTGCCTGGATTAGAAAATATATTTATTCATACACAGACAATATGGTGTTTTAGATTTTTGGAGACATATGTGTTGTATACTGCAATAAATCTCTAAAGCTGGAGACTTTTATATGCTTGCTTATGGGTTATTAAGTCCCAGTGAATTCAGTGGGGCTTACGTTACAGTAGAAAAATGTATAGGATGGCACTATTAAAACTATTAGTGAGAGAAATACAGGCAGGCTAGACCAGTGGTTCTTAACCTTTGTTACTCGGATGTTTTTGAACTGCATCAGCAGACTATGAAGGAGTCCCAGTGGTTTGTAGTGGACAGAATGTTGGACTTGGACCCAGATCACAGAAACCCACTGAGGGGTGAGAATGGAAAACCACTCCTTACCCGTTTCACATACCTCAAAAATCATACGCAGGTCACCCTAAGTCAGAAGTGACTTCACAGCACAACATAACTAGGAAAGATAGTGGTCAGAGGTGCCTGGTCTTAAATGGGAGGCTCCTATGTAGATTAATAACTTGTTTGGTCACAACTAAATAAAGCAAAGTGAGTGTAGTGTGCTAGTCGTGCAATGGTCCCCAGCCTTGGGCCTCCAGATGTTCTTGGACTTCACCTCCCAGAAACCCTAGCCAGCAGAGGTGGTGGTGAAGGCTTCTGGGAGTTGTAGTCAAAGAACATCTCGAGGCCCAAGGTTGGGGACCACTAGTGCATAATCAGCAGATTGTGCTTTTCCACATTCACTGTTGTGGATTTGCTTACTAACTCCAGTTGAAGAAAAGTGTTTTTCTTTACAGAAAGTATTAAAAATATCAGTGTGCTAAAAGGCAAGTACAGTAGGCTGCATTTTATACTAGCTGCTGAGAAATACTCTTCTTTGCAGCCTGTATGGAATTCACAGTCTAGTTATCTCCTTAGCTGCTGGGTTTTTTGTGTTTTTTTTTAAACCCAACAGGTTGGTAATTTCTGTGGGTTTGTTTACAAAGCTGATGTGTCTTTGTATGTATGAAAGCAGAAGTGGACATTGGATCTCTGGATGATCTGCAATGGATCGGCAAAGATTTCTGACTCCCACTACATAACAATAGCAATGTTAAAATGAATGAACCACCACTAGAGCTATGGTGCATCAATCAAGCTGTAGATATTTGTTGGGAAATATTGGGAACTCCACTGAGTTCTAGTACTTTAAAGCAGTGCCCTGTAAGGCATTCTATAGGTTTTAATTTATGTATTTTGCACAAGGTCTGGTTGGAGGTCTGATAAAAAGTATTAGCAGATACTGCAAAATGTGCTTACCTCTGCTTTAAAGAATAACAAGCAATTAAGGCATAATTGAGATAAATAATCAATAATTTAAAACAATAATTTGAAGAATAATTTAACAAGTACTTCCAGAATAAAGAACAACAACATCTCTAATGCCAGAGAATTTGCAACCTGAATTTAACAGGAAGGGGGCAGATTAAAGCAAATTTCAATAAGGTGTTAAGGAATTTGCTTCCAGTCTCTGCTGAGACCAAATGCATTATAACAATTATTTTCCATATACTGTACTGCATAATGATCATTTTATCTCTGTGTTATTAAATGATTTCCTGCCTTTTGCAACTCTTGTGATGGCTGCACCCCCGTTACTCTGTGTAAACCCATAGGCAAAGAAATACCTCACTATTTGCTTTTTAAAGAACGAATCATAAACCACGCCCGAGAACACTTTCCTTAGAAAACCCTGGAAAGGCTTGACATAATCAGAAATTACAGCACAAAAGTATTAGTATCAAAGTGAGCAGAGCTTGAAAAAGTTACTGTTTTGGATTACAGTACCCGGAATCAACTTAATTTCTGCTGACTGGCTGCTCTGCTGTGCTTCAAAAAAGTAACTTTTGCAAACTCTCATAAGAAGGGGGATATATCTGGTTAAAGAGAGAGTGAGAAAGAGTACAGCTGCTTACCTTTAAAGTTCTGTACAGCCTCGGAACCTGCCCTCAATTTGCCACATTTATATTGGCCACCCAATAACACTGCTCTGGACAGGTTTCGATAAAAGATAGAAATATATCTAAATATTATAAAAGTAGTGCAGCAATTTAAAAAAATTCCAGAAGAGAGAGAGA